GTCGTTGGTGTCTCCTGCTGAGGTGCCTCCCTCTGCAGATACAGCGGTAGCTGCTCTGATTTTGTGTTTTTGAAATGTCAAAACAAATATGTGGTGCATTTACTGACACTTTTGTGAAGCTGAAATCATGTCATTTAAGCAGCGAGGACAGTGAAACTAGAGGCTGTGAAAGCCTTAAATCACCTCAGAGGTGAGTTTGTAAAAGGCTCAGTTGATTTGTTCTGTGAGAGGAGGGTGAGCGCTCTTTATGGGATCATTGGCAGCGAGGTGTCAGGTGTAGGAGTCAGGTTTAGTCCAGCAGATCCCCAGGGCAATTGTCACCAGTTGGACCCATTTTAGGGTCAGTAAGGCTGAGAGCACAAAGAGGAGGAAATGCAGGAAAAGGGGGAGCTGGAAACCCACAATGCTCATTGTTACTTCTGCTCATATAGCCATGGGTCTTTTTATGGCTTTAGTTACACAAATAAATTTGATTTTACACTGTGTAGCATCCAGTCAAACATCTCTTATTTATTCTTTCAGTGGCAAACCTCACCTCAACCCCATTTCTTTACCTTTCTGACTTCTCCTTTATTCTGTGTTTGCTTCCCAAGCCTTCCTCAAGGGAAGCGGTTGTTTGCTCAGTCCCTCAGCGATAGCAGCGTTCAGGGAACTGACGATCACAATGAGCACAAACACTCATTCTAACTCACCTCCACCAAGGGTAATGTGGCTTGTTTGCTTGGGATGGAGTATGGGATGTTGTGCTGTGACCACATGTGGCCTCCTTTTTACAACTGCCGTACATCCATGTGATTGCACTCTCAGTGGTGAGTGTTACTGTTTCTTCTGACCAAAACACACAGAGTTCTCACCAACTCTTGTTCCTCTGTAGAGAGGCGTCCATTCATCTGTCCATCAGGAAATAAAAGGATTCCTGGAAAAGTTATCAAAGTATATATATATATATATATATATATATAAGATTTGACATCAGTCTAAATTGCTGCGCACATGTAAATAATCGTTATAAAGTAAAAAAAATACTGGGCAGTGACCGTCATCTGACGATCTCTCTGTTACAGAAGTCAGTCGAGAAACTAATGATGAGAGTGAATACAATGGTGATCTGGTGTCCACTGTTTCTGACAGAGCTGTGTTCAGTGAGCTGGGAAATGTCCTTAGCCAGAAGCTAAGCTTCACATTTCTAATGGTGCCTTTACTGTCTGCAGCATCATGTGCTTAACTGAGTAAGGTTAACTAGGTTAATCATGAATGAAAGCTCAGGTGGTGTGGACAGGGTCACTGAGGCAGGACGGTCTGACTGGTTTTATTGTCTACAGCAGCAGGAGCAGTCTGTCCATTTGGTCCTCCAGGCCAGAGACAGAGTAAACTGAGTGACCTTGTCCAAGAAACACTCACACTTACTCTGTGCACATGTCTCAATTTACCAAGATTTTTTTTTAATATTCTTTTTTCCTTGTGTCTAAATCAATATATTTTAATATAAATATGTGTGAGATTCTGACATTTTCACTGGAGATGGTTGAAAAAAGGTTTAGTGGAAATGGTTAGAAAAATTAATCAGACAGAAAGCAGCAAAGGCCTTTTTACAGTGTTTATTAGCTTTCCTCCTATTTTATGCAGATGATACTGTAACTTATTGCTCCTCCTTATCACTAGTTTAAACTGATTAATATATAGAAAATTATGTTCTTCAATTCTTAAATAAAATAGATTTAAAAGCTTAATTGAACTTAATCTGATTAAAACATTTGAATTTAGGACCAACGGCAGGTTAGCATGCTGCTATTGCTTTACTATGTGGTCAGATAAACATAATGATTAGCAAGCAATAAAAATGTTATTTGTGTGTGAGGTGTCGCGGAGGTTAAGTAAACCTCGTTCTACTACTTTACGACGCAGAAAGTTTGTCAGTAACTGTACTGCGTCCTTTCTCCTTTGTTAGCACCTGAGAGAACTGTGTCATTTCTCAGTAATGTGTGATTTCAGGCATTAGGTGCCGTTCACAGGATTACTGCAGTGATAGACCCATGCAGGTAGACACTGGAGTCAACTGTGGCAAACAAGTGAGTGGATTTAAACAAAATGAAGAATTTCTAATGTGACACAGGCTTTGGAACACTTTTACAGCCTTTGGTGAAGCTTCTACCAAAACACGTTTTACAGTTTTCAGTAAAAGAATTGCCCCGTTAGGCTTTTAGATGGTTTTATTCCTAAATTTCCATGTTCCCTCCCTGTCTGCCCATGGAGGAAGTGGCTGATGCAGAAGCACAAAAGACTGCAACCCAATAAAGTAGAGGGAGGAATAGGTAAAAGAAGGCTGGGAGGAAAGCAAAGAGAAAAGGGTGTGAACACATTCAGGAAAACAGTTTTATGACTCAGTGTTAATAGAAGTCATTGAAGGAAGAATCCCATATTCCTGGAGGGCTTGAAGAAACAGGGGGAAAACCGAGAACAGGAGGAAGAGGGATGCTGTAAAAACAGGTGCCCTCACTCTTACCATGA